AGTGACAGGTAGTTGTAAAAAAAAACACCCCAAAACCCTTACACACACACACAGTGAAGATATATGCACCTACACTGCTCCTCCCAGGATCCTCTTACCTCCCCAGCTGAACAAGCTGTGCATGCACACTCATATACAGCTACAGGCACACCCAGAGAAGCACTGCATGTATGTCCATATACACATACACATTCAGCATATGTGACCTTAAGTATACATCTCTCCACAGAAGTGTATCTCTCTACAGAAGTACATATTCACATTCACACATGCTCATACAAAGGCATATGAACACACATCTTGCTCTGTACCCACAGCCTTCTATATAAACACATGCACAATGCTCAGTCCCAGGGTAGGTGAGCAGAGTTCTGGGACCTGGTGTGACCATCAGCAGTTGTGCATGGGTAGAAGAGGTCAAGCTCATGCCACCTGGACATTGCCCACCAGGCCCCCAAGCATCATGGAGGCCCAGTCCATGAGGGTGAGGATTCTGTCCAATCCACTTTCCCAGGGTGCAAATCAAGGAGCCAGGAGGTCTCTAGAGTCTTCCCTGTTTCCTTAATGAAGTCCTAATCTTCCCTGATGGGTGATGGATATTTGGTTGATGTTCCTGTGCTACCATAAGTGGGTCAGCAGGGAGCCCTCAGCTTGGGCTCTCTAAGCTGGTGGGGGCAGTGGGCAGTGGGCCCAGTACAGTGCAGGAGTGTCCTCAAAGGAAAGCATTCTTCATTGGTAATGAACATTATGTCTACAGAAACTAATGGCCCAGCCTTCTATTCAGTTTATGTAAAATAAAACAGGCCATATGTTGCTGCTTTCAGAGTTTGGGTGTTTAAATTAAATGTTGTTTAATGAATATTCAAACCCATTTGCTCCAAAGTTGTGCTCAATGTGGTGGCGGCTTTCATCCCCCTCCTTCCTTGCAGCCCCCTCCCTGCTCCAGTACCCAGGGTATTAAGCCATTAGAACGGGGTGTGAACATCCAGGCATCTGTCTTTCAAAGGAAAGTTGGATATTAAAATGCTGGAGCAGATGACAGTATAAATAAAGACATACAGTGAGAGGCTCATCTGGTTATTTTTTTGTTTGGTAATTAAGACTGAGGAGGTTTTGACTTAAGTTCTGTCTTACTGAGAAACAGAGGTGGGGGCTGAGAGCCCTCCACCTCTTTCTTTTTTCCTTTGCCTATAAGCCCAGAGAGGGCCTTCCACATTTGGCCTCATGTAACTGGTTTATTGATCAGTGTCAGCTTGGTAGCATAGAGATGTGGAATGGTTTTATTTTTCCTCTAGTTGCTGCTTTCTGCTCAACTCTGTCGAATTACCTTTAACATCAGCTTGATTGGAGTCCATAGATTTTTTTTCTTTTTTAGATTTTATTTATTTAATTTTAGAGAGAGGGGAAGGGATGGACAAAGAGAGGAAGAGAAACATTTTGATGTGCGAGAGAAACTTTGATCACTTGCCTCCCTCACTCATCCTGACTGGGAATCAAAAGTGCAAACTTCCGTTGTGCGGGATGACATTTAACCAACTGAGCCACACCAATCAGGGTAAGCCCATAGCTTTATGGTCATTTAAAGTCCAAGCTGGTTCAAAACTGCCAGCTCAGCCCTTGGCCTACTATAAGCCAGATCTGTACTCAGATGATGGAAGTGAGGAGGGGGTAGTGTCTGCTCTCCATTCCTCCTCCTACTCCAGAGCCTTGAATCTCCTTCAGATTTGGGAGCAGGGACAGTGGGCTGTGGAGGCTACCTAGAGGGTGTTGAGAAGCATCTTTACTTTGGTTTGCTGCCATGGCTGACCTGGGGATCTCTGTGTAGATGGCAGAGCTGGTGGCCTTGGGACAGAGTCCAGCAGCATGCATCACTGAGGACGCCCTTAGAGAAGGGCAGGTGTTCTCCCTTCTGCCCCATGAATGCTGCATATGCTGTCTCTTTGAGTGGAGCACTGCTTCTTGGGCTCTTCCTAAGTTCCAGCCCATCCTCACCCCTGCACCTCCACATGGCAGCACAGGAGGAGCTGAAATCCTTCCGTGCCTTCTGCAGGCTGTGGGATCAGAGCTGTGGATACCCTACTACCAGTTTTCCTTGGCATTCTGTTCCCTGGCCCTCCTGATGCTGTGAGCTCTAATAAGTCTTTTGCCTTCAGAGAGCTCCAGGGAAAGTGGGCATCACGTTCCATGTTCAGGTATATCCTCTAGCCCCAGAGGACCTGAGTTAGCTTCACTCATGTACTCCTTCACTAGGTTTTGTTCCTCTTTCATGGCAGTATCAGAGTGGGGCTGCAGATTCTGGGGAGAGAAATGCCAGCTTCCCCATATCGAGGGCACCCACCATTTCTATGAGTGATTGTCTGGAGCACCTTGCATCAAAACTACATGCTCTGTACAAGAGAGCATGGGCCAGCTCCCCCCAGTGGCCCTCTTCTGTCTCTCCCCTCCCTGGTCTGTAACATGTAGGATGTGTGTGTATGAGAGGGGATTACAGTGGGGTCTGGTATTACAAGAACTGGGGCTGGTTTAGTTTCTTCTTTTTTAAAAAAATTGGGATTATTTATTTATTAAATTCTGACCCAAGGACACTTTTTCATTGTATTTAGAGGGAGAGGAAGGGAGAGGGAGAGAAACATTGATGTGAGAGGGAAGCACCAACTGGCTACCTCCTTTATGTGCCCAGACTGGGGAATATACGTGCCTGGACAAGGGACCAAACTCGCAACTTAGGCATGTACCCTGGCCAGGAATTGAACCTGCAGCATTTTGTTTACCAGGTGATGCTCCAAACAACTGAGCCACACCACCCAGGCCTAGTTTCTTCTTGATGAAACCCTTGCAGGGTGTCTATTACTGGTGGCTCTCTTTACGTGTGATAATGAGCATCTCATTGCCCTTAGCTATGTGCCCCAGTGTCTAGCCCAGGGGCTGCAGTAAAAATCCCACCGACATCCTGTTGTACATATGTACAGTGAGCATTTGTGTACAGTGAGGATTTTAGGAGCATCAGGATGGTTTCCATCCTCCTCTCCCACCCACCAAATCACCTTCCAACCCAAAGAGCTCAAATGCTCCCATGCTCCTAATTATCACCTCCATGTGGGAGACCCCCTCTAGCTTCTGTCACCAACCCTGAGCTCCCCCTGTGTGTCTCTGTCTCCACTTTGACATCCCACCAAATATTACTATGCTCATATCCAATTTCTGATGTCCTTTCCTTCTCTCCTCCATAATCCAAACCAGTGTCTTCTCTGCAGTGAGAATTTACTCAACAGGTACTTAACTGAGCAGCTACTATAACCCTAGCCCTGTGATAGGTACTGGAGATCCAAGAATGACCCAAAATGGTGCCTATCCTCAGGGAGATCTTGGCTAAGTGGGGGGTCATAGACATAAGGAGAGACTCTTGGCATGAAATGGTAAGAGGTGAGGCCATGGGGGTAGAGACCTCTTAGAGGTTATTTCACTAACCTTTGAGCACTTGAGCACTCAGGAAAGCCTTTCTGGAGGGGATGACCTTTGAGCTCAGTCTTGGATTATAATAACTAGCAAGGTAAGAAATTTAGGAAGGGCATATTAGGGAAAGGGAATAGCAAGAACAAAGATATGGAGGCATGGTGGAATAGGGTGTGCTGAGAGCTTGGAGCATTCTGGGGTCTGATGTGCAGGGTAGGGAGTGGTAAGAGATGCATTAGTGTTCTGTCTCCTTTTCTGGCATGTCCTCCTAGTCCTTTGTATGCAGAGTTGTGGCTGACTCCTCTTCAGCAAGCCTTCACTCCTGCCACCCATCCCACCATAAGGTGAATGATAGAGTAGGGTGGATGATCACATGGTATCTTCCTACTTTGACATCATGTCACCAGTAGGTGTGAATGGTGATGTCTCTCCTGGGACAAGTGGCCTGAAGGAACAATTTGAGGATGGGAGGTTCTTTGAGGTAAGTCAGCTAACCCAAGGCTCTGACCCTGACCTTTCTCTGGGCTCAGCTCTTGGTCTGAATACCAAATCATTTGGTGTGTGACTTCCCTTTGCCTCCTTGGTCCCTGAGTTTGTCCCAGAATATGGTTCCCAGATGCTATCTGGTTCCTTGAACAGGATCCATCTTTGTTGGCATTAACATTTTGCACGTGGCAGTACATACCCTCAGGGAAAACAACCCACTCATGGACTCCAAGCTATCCCTGTAGGTCCCTGCCTGGCCCAGTTCCTGCAACTCCTATGCAACTGTCTGAGGATTGGGATCTTCTAAGTGAGGCTAGCTTGGCTTGGAGACTTTCTTCTCTAGCCTGGTATATATGTGTGTGCATGTATGTGTGTTGAAAGAGATTGGCAGGAAGCCAGTGTCCCAGCTGAGAATCTGTTTCCAAAGCCCAGAGGAGGCTGGGTATCCCTGTCCACTGGCCCTGGTTCCCAATCATCTATTTACCACAGTGGGAATGTTCCATCCTGGCTAAAAAGAAGTCCTAGTTCCAAATCCATGCCAAGGCTTCTGACTTCTAAGGCAGCAGGTGTGGACTCACAGAATGCATTTTCATGATAATGAGAGCCAAACAATTCCAAAGCTGAATGTGTTGTAAGGAACCCATTCATTTGTTTCTTCATTTCAGGTCTGTGCCACAGCTTGTGCTGGAAACTGGGGGATAGCAGGGTGAATAAGATAGAGGTCCTGTTCTTGAGGGGTTCATGGTCTAGTGCAGGCAGGGAGCAGGTTCTGTGATGCACATGTTTAATGGCACTGGGCATAATAGCCAGCGACCTCCATAGGAGGAGGAGGGCTAATGTCTGTTGGATGTCTGCCATGTACTTGCTTGAGGCTGAACTCTCCTCCTGAATTATTTAACTTCATCCTCACAATTGCAATGATGAGAATATTACTATTCCAGAGGTGGAAACACGCTCAGGAAGGGTAGGGAAAGCATCCAAGGTCACAGAGCATAGAGTGACAAGGATAGGCTTTGAATGTGGACAACCAGATTCTAGAGATTCCACTCTTTTTTTTTTCTGTAAATATGGAACACTTCACAAATTTGCATGTCATCCTTGCACAGGGGCCATGCTATTCTTCTCTGTATTGTTCCAATTTTAGTGTATGCGCTGTTGAAGCAAGCACTAGAGATTCCATTCTTAATTCCTGGGAGTTTACAATCTACTTGTGGCAGAAGGGTGACCTACAGAATTATTAGAGTGCATCAGACTAAAGGTATGGTTCTGGGCCTTAATGTGTGACACAGAGAGTTGGGAGGAGCCCCCGGTGGGTAGGGGGGAAACTCTGAACTTTACTTGAGAGTGGTTCTGGAGTTGGCAGAAGTGATCTGCTGTTTCACTGGGCAGCACTCCTGGCCTGGCTTTCTGAGATCCACAGAGACAGGTCCATCCCCCTAACCCTGGACTTGTTCCCAGAGGCAAAAGGAAGAAGCTTCAAGTCTTAGGCTCTCCTGTAGTCCTTAAGATAGAAGAGGCAGTGCCCAGGAAAGCAACTGGTCTAACTGAGCCTACTTGGGGTTCCCTCCTGGTGCTTACTGCAAAGAAGAATTGGATCATCCTGTAGTCCTGGTAGGGGATGGAAAGGCAGTGGGGAGTCAGATGCTTTATCTGTAAGTTGGGGATAGTAATTCTGCCTCCCCTTGCATTCTAAAGTGGTCATGATGAGCATGTGAGACAATATTTGTGAAAGTGTCAAGAAAAATCAACCTCTACAAAAGTGTAAAACATGACTCACACTTCTACCTTATTTTTTCCCATTTCAGTAGGTTTTCCTGGTCATTAATGTTTTTTAAAACCAACCAAGCAAGCAGCTCCCCCACCCATCACAATACATTTATTTTGTATCTACTTGTTGCCAGTCACTTATAATGAAAAATGACTTATAATGGACAACCTCTTACACTATTTTAAATTAGATGCATTACTTTGCTGAATCTTTCCCAAACCATACCAGTTGGATACTAGCTCCACAAGATGAGAAATTTGAACAAGAGAGGTTATTTGCCCCAGGTCACAGAGCTGGTAAGTAGCAGAGCCTGCATTTGAACCCAAGTTTTTTGATGCCAAATGGCTTGCTTGGCTAATGATGTAGTGGCTTTGAAGGTTTATATTTTTATTTGGTGGAGGAGACTCTTTCAGTTCCAGGAGACCAAAGCAAACAAATCTATCATGTCATGGTTGCACTGAAGCTTCCTTGGTAAGGGGCAGTAACTCGAGGACTATTTTACAGATCTCTTGTCTGTAAAGATAGCTGAACCAGGACACCAGGAGTTCTGTGGCAGGCTAATCTGCTTACTGCCGAGGAACTTGAGGAAGTCCTTGCATGCTTATTGGTTTACAGCTCCTGGAAAAGATGGAGAGATGGAGAGAAGGATATTCAGACAGGTATGGAGTCAGATCCCTTACACCAGGGCCAAGAGGCCCCTGAAAGATATACCCCTGCTTGCTGGTGGATGCCCCTTGGCATCATTATTGTAGGTGAGCATCATTGAGTTGCATGGAACACAATTCATGTGCACCAGCTCATGAACTGCATGCGGGTGGGGTACAGGGCATGGTTATTGGAGCAGTACAGGCTTCTTTAGATGGAGTGAGGCCATCTAAAGTGAGGCCAGGCAGCTCATGGGAAGTAGATCTGGGAGCCACCAGGGAGAGAGTGCCTTCTTTCTGTCTTTGTCTCCAGCCTCCCATTTCTCTTGGGCTGTATGGCCTCTGCTCTCTGCCTCTTTCTCAGCCTCCATTCCATTTTTCTCTCTGCAGTCAGGATTCCTCTGCTTATTCATGGCTTGTCTGCTCTGCATACCCGCTTCTCCAGCTTGTTTGCCATAGGGCCGACCATGACCACGACTCTATACAACCCCAAATGCCCATTACTATCTAACTTTGTCTAAATTCTTGAGAGAAAAAAAATCTGATTGGTCACTGGTTAGCCAATGAACTTAATGTTCTTAGGTCAAGTGTCCATCTCTGGCCCAACCAGAGGAGAGTATGTGGTACAAAAATGGCCACTTAGGGCTGACCCTTCCTCTGTGTCTGTGGGCAGGACAAATACACCTAAACACATCTACCATAGACCAAGGGCAAGCTGTTGCCATTTGTCTTACTCTAGACCATGGGCAGGAAGGCAGAACCAGGCTCAGTTTCTTGTGGTCTTATTTTCTCTGAGTAGGCAGCTACTTTCTGAAGGTTCTGAGCCGAGAGCTTATGCCCTTGGGGAGGCCTGCAAGACTACAGTTCACTGCTGGGTTTCTATCTGACTTTGACTCATTTGAGCCCATGAGGAAGGGAGGGCACCATGGAAGTCATGTATATACATTAGTCAAGAATCTAGGAATACCATTTCCCGAGCATCTCCCATGTGCCAGGTACTGTGCTCAACATTTTACCCATGTAATTTCATTTAATTCTCACAGCCCTGTCAGGAAAAATGGGCCCAATTATAACTATTACAAAAATGAAGACATATTAATTTGTTCATCAACTGTTTATTGAGTGCTTACTGGGTACCAAGGCTGTACTGGGTACTGGGGATACAATGGCACACAATGGCTACTATTACTGCAAGCTAACTAGACCAGAGACCATGTGAAGGAGTTGGTAATATACAGGGTCCAGCACAAATAATGCCTCTTTTTTATGACAAAATCTTTTATTAAAAAATCATAGCACATAATTCTGTAACATAACAATATCACACTGAAGCACAACATATGACATTTTAGGTGAAATATTAAAATTAAGACTATATATTATTATACCCATATACCCTACCAACCACACTCAAGCAGGCCTTACTTCTGCTGAATCCTGTCTGTATTTATCCCTTTCAGTCCTCAAAAGAACCCTATAAAAGGGTTTCTGTTTTTAATACTTTTTGCAGGTAAGGAAATTGAAGTCTGGAGAAGTTAAGTTCTTTATATTAGTAAAAGGTCACACAGCTAGTGAGTGACACAATCTGAATTTGAACCCAGGCCTAAGGGCCTCTTATGTGATTCAGAAATTCTTGGTAAAGAGATTTTGCTGGCCAAGGGGCACCTGGAAAATAATGTTCTCATGGTCTTTGCGTCAGCTGGTTACTCTGATTTCTGAAGGAGTGTTGGGGAGTGGGGTTCCTGGGTGTGCTCCTCCCACCTTCCTGCTTTATATCTAGGACTTTCTTTCTTTTTTATTGTTGTTTAAGTTTTTATTTCATAATCATAAACTTAACTCTGCAATCCAGCTGGACTTGGAAGGGGTAAGAAAAACATGGGACCCAATGAACTGAGGCAAAAGCATGAAGATTTTAGAACATTTTAAGCAGATGGGGGTGAAGGGGCGCTCTCCTGAGCTACAGAATGAATGCTCTGGTGGTTCAGATAAAACACAAGTCAAATTTATGAGAGTTGTCCACAGTCAGTAATGGTGATCTTCCTGCTGGTCTTGTCATTCCTGGACCTGTAGCACTCCATGGCTGTCACAGCATCCGTGCCGTCTTTCACCTGGGGGAAGACCACATGCTTACCATCCAGCCACTCGGTCTCAGCAGTGCAGATGAAAAGCTGGGAACCGTTTGTGTTGGGTCCAGCATTTACCGTGGACAAGATGCCAGGACCTGTGTGCTTCAGGACGAAGTTCTCATCATCACTTTTCTCCCTGTAGATGGACTTGCTGCCTGTGCCACTGTGCCCATGTGAAGTCATCACCGTGCCATGGAAATCCCAGAATAACTCTGTGACAGCAGGGGCCTTTATAACAAATTTTTTTCTCCCCAGTGCTCAGAGCACGAAAGTTTTCTGCTGTCTTTGGAATTTTGTCTGCAAAGACAAAAGAGACACTTGAAAGGAGATGTGGCCCAAAGGCTCGCTGTTGGCAGTGATGTCGAAAAACACGGTAGGGTTGACTGTGACTGAGCTCAGGAAGATCCAAGGTGGTGGCAGTGTCTGCAAGGCATCCAGGACTTTATTTCTGCTTTCTGGCCCCATTCCTGCTCCTCCCTGTGTGGTGTTCCCCATTCTAGTGTCACAGAGACCTGTGGGCTTTTCATAGGCCACATGTCATAGCATGTATGGTGATCCAAATGTCTGTGTCAGATTATAATTCATATGTTGAAATCATAACCCCCAAGGTGATGGCATTTGAAGATAGGGCCTTTGGGAGGTCACCAAGTCATGAGGGTAGAACCCTTGTGAATGGATCAGTGCTGTTAAAAGAGAGGCCCCAGAGAGTGCCTTCACCCCTTCCTCTGTGTGAGAACACAGTGAAAAGTCTGTGACCTGGAAGAGGACCCTCACTTGACCATGCAGGTGCCATGATCTTGGATTTCTAGCCTCCAGAACTCTGAGAAATAAATTTCTATTGTTCATAAGCCATATAGTCTGTGGTCTTTGTTATAGTAGTTTGAAGGAACCAGGACTCTGTTTTTGTGTCTGGGAATTCTGCTGGCCCAGCTGGCTGAGCAGGGTCATGTTTGTCTGTGGCCACTCCTGCCAAAAATTTCCCGAGTGCTATGGATCACTCCAATGTTGGAGTCATGTCTACGTGAAAAAATAAGCTGTGTGCATGTAGGGGAGAGAGAGAGAGTGTTAGACATCAAGGTGGCTTTAGTATTTTAGCATTAGGGCTTTTAATGGGCAATGTGACAACGTGACCATTCTTTACTGCCTGTCAGAACAGCCAGCTGGGTCCTGCTACATCCATACAGTCCTGCTTCCTTGAACGTCAGCTATGTTAGGTTAGGGGTCATGTGGCAGCACACTGTCAGAGCTCAGCCAGAACTATGTGGGGCAGCCTTCCTTCTGGCTCTGGAAATTCAGGAGACTAATCCTAGCAGGGACCAACAGGCTTGGGCAACTTTCTGGAAAGTGTGAGGGCCTTCTCCCTTTACCTGTTTGCTTTTATCACTGTATAGGGAAGGAGCTTCTGGCTGGGAGTTTTCAACTCCTAGGTTGTTATAACTAGCTCCTTATGTTATAATGAACCCAGAAGCCACCAGTGAGAGTATTGGTGAAGGAACAGTCCTGTTTTGGATGAACTGGGAAACTGAAAGAGGACCTTGGCCCAGGACTCCTGTTTCAGCTGAAGAGAGAAGACATGGCAATGTCAAAGCACTGACCTGGCAGGGAGATGTCTGGCTTTGACGTCATGGGA